ATATATATATATATATATATATATATATATATATATATATATATATATGTATATATGTATGTATGTATATATATAGTATTAAATTGTAAGAGTTTTGAGGTGCCAAAACTACTGATTCTTTTTCTCTAGTTTACTTGTGGAATGATAAGGATAGAATCCAACAGCCCTGAAAAGTGAAGGCATTACTAAAATGCGCTCACGAAACTTCGAAGTCGGCATGAATGAAATAACACTACTTTGTTAAGTGATAAGTTACGCTACATTAATCCTAATTTCTCTCTCTCTCTCTCTCTCTCTATATATATATATATATATATATATATATATATATATAATTATTCGAAAATTATAACATAAGTACGTTATAAAATCACTACAAAAATAGGTGTCTTTTCAAGTGATGGTGTTATTGATAAGACACCAGAAGTGTTGAAACAAAATTTTTGTAGCAATCTTATAACATATTTATGATATAATTTTCGAATAAATAATTATATTTTCTCTACTCTGTATTGAACACTCTTTTATATATATATATATATAAAGATATACGAGTTCTGATAAATAAGAGATTCAAATCACAAGAAAAGACGGATTCATCGCCAACTGAAATGAGATCAACCATGGAGAAGGATATTCGTACGAATTACAGCAACATAAAAAAAAAGAAAATTCCCGTAGCAGTTAAAATTTGTGCGACTTACTCTTCAGTAAAAACGTTTTAAAAATAATTTTTCTTTCTTTATTTGGCTGACTTCAAATTAATCGTGATAGACTGTTTAATATTGCTTTTAGATATAAATGAAAAAAAAAGAAGAAAAGAAACACTTTGAATCATAGCTAGACATTATACATTGAGAGCTAATCTAAAGTTAATGCCAACATTATTACTGCTACAAGCGATGATAATGAGGAAAGTATGAACAATAAAATACTACGAAAGAAAGATGGCAACTATTTCATGCCGTATATGTTGCTATTTCAGCCTAAGGCTCATTTGCATATGCATGAGAAAAAAAGTCCTCCATTGCAATTCAACCGCGCGAAATTGCAAAAAATTAATGAGATTCTAATGATTCCTTTTGTTTTAAAGGTATTCAGGATTTAGTTTAACAAATTTCATGAATTTCGTTTAATGGTTTCCTTCGAGTTTCTTCAGCCAATAATGGTTGAATTTAATTTATGCCATTTAATTTTCTTGTTTACATGTTTTCATTAATCGATAACGAGATCTCTGTCCGAGTTTGTAATTACGACAAATGCGACCAAATGTATCATCAACGGTAGTTGCCAATTTTGACTTAAGGGTCAAGGACTGTAAATGGCAGGGTCACATAATATGCAACAAGCTTCGTTAACACACTTGACAAACAGAACTGACCTAAAAAAAAAACACACACACAGTAAATGAGCTTTGAATATTTTCGCATATTAGCCACACAAGGAATGTATTTTTGCATTTTTGCAACGAATGTGTTGGTAGCGTAATAAAAAATTACTTTTAAGCTTGTTCGATTTATAGGTTAAAGTGTTAAATATCAGGGACAGAGCGGTTGTAAATATAAAAGTAGACATTGAAATTAACACTATGGAGATTGCATTTAGCCATGAAACAGACTGTCGCCGTTGGCTGTTGACATCAGTGACCATATATATATATATATAGAGAGAGAGTTGTATATTTAGGCAGCTATCCTTCCTTTATGCATGTTTCATTAAAAAACGACAGCCAAGGTACTAAGGTTAAGCATTTTATTTAATTTTTCTTGTGTTCAAACAAGGGCTTTCTTTTCTGGACAAAGGGTGTGTATGAACTGTCCAAATGTTTTATATTTCCGAGCGCTTTCGGCTATACCTTTAGTCATTATCAAGGATGATTCAATTTTGCAGCTTAATTGAGTATGTGCATTCTGTGTCTGTCTTAGTGTGTGGTAGAGATGTTTTTAATTTCCGAATACGGTTAGCACATTGTGGCTTTGTTCATAGTTAATATTGTTAAGAGTTGGCTTTTTCTTTTTTATTATTAAAGCTTCCATTATTTTTAGTCTTTTTTTTGCAGGTGGATGCAGTTAATATATTTGTGTTTTCTACTAGTATGTTTCTAATAGAGTCTGGTAAGTTTGTGTGTGTGTGTGTGTTTAAATGGGTTCTAATGGAGCTGTGATCAGATAATGTGTAACGTAAGACGTCAGGATAAGCAATTGGAGTAAAGTGCCATGCAGATTTAAATTTTTCTAACTTTTGACGAATTCAGCTATCGATTTTTTTTGCATTCTAGCATGCTAGTTAACATTCGTGTCAGTCAGCTGTTGGCTCTCACGCTGGTCAATAGAATCTTCCTGCCTATTCGTGGCAGCAAGCTATTGGCTCGCACTCTGGCCAGTAGAAAATGGCCGCAAACTACATGAAAACTGACGCAGAGGCATGAAAAAATCGATTATTTCCACTATCGATGGGAGTTGGGAAATGCAAAATAGGTTTTGACCTTCCCACTAACTTGGGGCATGGGCATGTAAATTTTGGTGCAAATCTGTCGAAAATTGTGGCCGTGCATTCGTTACACACACACACACACACACACACACACACACACACACACACACACACACACACACACACACACATAGCCTATATATAATATATATATATATATATATAAATAACTATATATATATATATATATATATATATATATATATATAAAAAATATATAGGTAAATAATCTAGGTAAATAATCAAAGTTCTTTAGTATTTTTTGTTATTATTTTAAAAATTAGTGCTCGATACAAAAGTAGAGCATAAATATTATGTAGCGTGTTGGAATCATATTTTTAAATAAATAATTATATATATACATACATATATATATATATATATATATATATATAATTATATGTATGTATATGTGTGTGTGCGTGTTTCATTAAAAATCACAGACAAGGTACTGCGATTAAGCATTTTATTTAATTTTTCTTGCCTTCGAATAAGTATTTTCATTTCTGGGCACAGATTGTGTAGAAACTGTCCAAATGTTCCATAATTCTGAGCGCTTTCGTCTATACTTTTAGCCATTATCAAGGATAAGTTTATTTTTGCTTTTTAACTGGGTGTATGTTTGAAGAGTTATCGAGATGCTTTATTTTCCGAACACTGTCATCACTTTGTGGCCGTTTTCTGTCGTCTTTAATGAAACATATATAAATAAGGAGATTGCTGGCTAAATATATATATATATATATATATATGAGTTTGAATAAAAACTGAGATGACTTTAGGTTCCATATTTAAATTATCGGACTATTGTCCTCATCTTTGTCGGGCTATGGATCATCAACGTTTCGGCCTTTGTACGGTTGGCCTTCTTATATTTAGAATAACCCTTATATTTATGTATGGGGTATACTGTTTTAATTCCACGTGCCGTGTTTGATGGATATATATATATAGTTATCTATATATAATTTTTCCCTGAAAGTTCTATATGCCTTAACCAGGAATTGAACTCACCTTCTTTGGGTCTGTCACTGGATCTAACCAACGTCTTTTCCACTTTACCATGTGTTCTTACAAATATTTTTTCTGCACCTAAATTGTGTAACTAACATCCAAACTTTTTGAATATCCGAGCTTGTCCAGTTAATATTTTAGTCATTAGCAAAGACGATTTTCATTTATTTTTATTTTTATTTCTAACTGAATGTGTGGGGATTTTATGTATAGGAATGTTTTATTTTCCAAATATGGTCAGCACGTTGTGGCCGTGTTCATAGTTAATGTTATTGAATTTTGGCTTTTCCTTTTTTTATTATTAGTGCTTCCGTTATTTTAATTTTTTTTTTAAATGTGGACGAGTCTATTATACATGTATTTTCTACTAGTATTTTGCGGATGGACGTTGGTAGGTTCTCGTGTCTGTTTAAATGAGTCCTAATTGAACTATGGTCAGATAGGTCTAACGTGAGTCGTCTAGATATGCATGTAGTGGTATAACCAATGTAATTATTTATGAGTTTGATTTGATCAGGAACGCATTTCCTTAAGAGGCATGTCATTTCCCATCGCCGTAACGAAAATTCCCCGTGAAGTTTCTATATTTTCATGGTAATTGTTCTGATGAGCTTTCTTCTTTGATATCCCGACTTTACGAATTTGAGACCAGTACTAGATGGTCAGTTAGGTCTCATAATCAGTTTCTTAGCTCCAACCTTGACCTTTAAAAGTTTAAATGCGACGTCAATCGTCATCATCTGTCTGCTTCAACCTTTTCTTTTATCGCCCTCTCTGTGTCATTCATTCCATATAACAACTTGCACCCTGGTAGTTTTATTGACTTGCAAGGAGTGAAGTGATTAAATGCCTCTTCTTTTATTGATCTCTATGTGTTTGTTTCCTTTTCATTAACCCCTTGCATCCTAGTGGCTTTTGTTGCCTTGCTCTGGGTGAAATAATTAAAAACCTGTTCTTTTATTGTCCTCTCTCTGTTTCTTTCCTTCTCGGTAACCCCTTGCGTCCTAGTGGCTTTTATTGCCTTGCTCTGGGTGAAATTATTAGAAATCTGTTCTTTTATTGATCTCTATGTGTTTGTTTCCTTTTCATTAACCCCTTGCATCTTAGTGGCTTTTGTTGCCTTGCTCTGGGTGAAATAATTAAAAAAATTGTCCTCATTTTTTTTTCCTTCTTAACCCTTGCGTCTGATTGATTGTTCATTTTCATTGTTAGTCTGATGATGTCATTTCATAGATCGAAACACGTTATATATAAACTTTTTCTCCGTTTTTCATTTGGTTATTCAATGATAGTTAATCATTTCTTCCCGAAATCTATGGCTTCTGTCGTGAGGTCTTTACTCATAACGTTTTCGTGTTTTCTGTCGTCGGTTTTGGTCGAAATCTAAACGAAAAATAACTGATCAGTCTGTTTCTTTGTTGCCATTGAAATTGGTAATAGTATCTCCTTTTTTTTTGTTCCCTGTATAACATATATGCATTATTTCAACAATGATGGTCGCAAATCCCTCTTTGATCGAAGAGGCGCTTTTCTCTTTGGCTTGTTTTATCGCCTCTTTGTACCGGATGACACGGCTAATTGTTCATCCAACCTGCTTTGAGATGAAGTCTTTCCCGCCCTGCAGGGAAATAAACAACTTGACTCAATCTTCTCTTTCTTCTGATTATCTACAAAGCCATCGTTATTTCGAAAGGAACCAAAATGAATCCATCGCATCTCAACAGAGTCGTTACTTCGACAGTTTTTCGAATTCTTGTTTGTTTTCGGTTCTCATAAGAGGGGTTTTTTTGCGGGGGGGGGGAGGTTATCGCTTTTATTTTTTGTCTTTAATAAAACGGATCAATAATCGCCTTCTTATCTGAACTAATTTGGTAACTTTTTTGCCAAATCTTTTTTTCTTTCCTTTCTCCTAATCGCTTTCAGTTTCCTTTTCTCGAAGATTTTAGCCTTTCCTTTCTTTCTTTCTTTCTTTCTTTCTTTCTTTCTTTCTTATATTTTCCTGGTCCGTTTGTGCTTCTTTTTATTTTTCTTTCATTCACTTATCTATCTATCTATCTATCTATCTATCTATCTATCTATCTATCTATCTATCTATCACTCTAGTTCCGCTATCATTCTCTCTTCAATCTATCTATCTATCTATCTATCTATCTATCTATCTATCTATCTATCTATCTAATTTTATTCATATCTATCTATCTATCTATCTATCTATCTATCTATCTATCCAGGTCACTTTAGTTCCGCTATCATTCTCTCTTCAATCTATCTATCTATCTATCTATCTATCTAATTTTATTCATATCTATCTATCTATCTATCTATCTATTTTATTCATGTGTATGTATGATTGTATCTATCTATCTATCTATCTATCTAATTTTATTCGTTTCTATATCCTTCTAACTAGCTAGCTAGCTAGTTTTCTTTCTTTCTTATATTTTCATGGTCCGTTTGTGCTTCTTTTCTTTTCTTTCATTCACTTATCTTTCTTTCTTTCTATCTATCTATCTATCTATCTATCTATCTATCTATCTATCTATCTATCTTTATTACTTGTCTATCTATCTGATTTTATTCTTATCTATCTATCTATCTATCTATCTATCTATCTATCTATCTATCTATCTATCTTCTAGCGTTTAGCAGATGTGGCAGCATCTTCAAGGCAGCAGGTGTTTTTGAATTCAGTGGTTTTCTACTCCTAGACTGGTTACTATAATATCCTTGAGCAGGAAACGGGGTGCCGAGTTCGAATTCCAGTCGAGTTCATTCATTCGCTTACGAGCATATACACTTAGGAAAGTAATGAATACATCTATAAATGGCAGGACAAATTGGCGCTATAGTTGCGGCGGCAACCTACGGCGCGCGTGCCACACGTGGCACGCTATGCAATATCCTATGGCACGCAGCCGCAAATGACATCACAAAGTTTGTTAATATTTGTTCACACTTGTCTTGGGTTTTATGTTTTGTTTTGCTACCCGCAGTTGATATGGTCGCGAATTGACACTTGTCGCACGTTTCAACTTTTACAAATCCTCTTTTGATCGCCATGACTAGTGGCACAAGAATAAAAAGTAGAGTTGCATTTATCTTTTTGTCCTCGTTTCATAGAATTAATTCTAGATTCAAAGAAAAAATTATTATACGCCACATTTATACATAAATTTTGAGACCGTGGCTCATCAAGTAGACATTTTTGGATTTTGAGTCACTAAGTACGTATTTTTGCTAATACTCTTGGGAAAGGTATAAATCTTCTTCTCCCACCAGCTACGGGTAAATAGCAGGACAAACCGGGTTCTATAGCCTTGGATGGCATCTCATTGATAGCGGCTCGGATTGAGGAATCGGAGACCCGAGTTTGAATCCCAGTCGATTCCGTTGGGAAAGGCATCAATCCTCTTCTTCTGCCACCAGCTATGGGTAAATAGCAGGATAGACCTGGTTCTATAGCCTTGGATGGCAAACTACTGCGGGAAAAAATCTGCCTCGTCAGTCATGTATCGAAAGATACATGATCGCCTAAGTGTGTATCACGCATGGCACATAACTGAATCAGAGAGCAGAGTTCGAATTCCAGTCGAATCCATTACATTCACTTACGTGCTAATAATACCCTTGGGAAAGGTAAGAATCCCCCCCAGCAATGGGTAAATAGCAAATCAGACCGGGTTCTATAGCCTTGGATGGCAACTGTCTATCTCAGAAAGAAATGGCAACCTACTGGGGGAAAATCTGCCTCGTCAGTCATGTATCGAAATATACATGATCGCCTAAGCGTGTATGACGCATGGCACATGAATCGAAGAGCCGAGTTCGAATTCCAGTCGAATCCATTGCATTCACTTACGTGCTAATACCCTTGGGAAAGGTAGGAATGCTCTTCTCTTCCCACCAGCTATGGGTAAATATAAGGACAGACCGGGTTCTATAACCTTGGACGGCAACTGGTCTACGCAAAAAGAAATGGCAATCTACTGCGGGAAAAAATCTGCCTCATCACTTATGTATCGAAAGATACATGAGCGCCTAAGCGTGTTTCATGCATGGCACATGAAAAAATGTGTACCACAACAATAAGTAATAAAAACAAAACTCATTACAGTGTGTTTTCAAATACATATTTGTCCATTCTAAACGTTTTAAGTTTTCCTAAAATGGCTTGTAATTCAACATGATTTGATAATTACCTCAGGTAACCTTATCGGATCAAGTTTTACTGCTCAGGTTTGTTTTTACCTCTATTGTTTTTCTTCCTATGATGATACGCTTAATTTGAGACTCGTCCAAAGTATGTAATTTCCAATATCTGATCAGTTTCAAGGCTCACCAGGGCCTCCAAAGTCTATCTTGCCCGCCTTTGTCAAACATTTTTGCAATTCCCAGAAAATGTAAACTACTATTATTTCTTAATAGCTGATGGTACCAGGTCAACCTATCTATGGGCAAATAGTTAAACCCCAAACTAGGGTGATATCTGAAGAACGGCATACGACGATTGAAGAAGAAGCCTACGCCACAGTTGAGGCGTTAAGAAAGTGGAGACACTATTTAATCGGACATCACTTCAGATTAGTTACAGACCAAAAATCTGATTCGTTCATGTTTAACTCAAAGGCTACCAGTAAAATAAAAAATGAAAAAATAGCAACTTGTTTCCTGTTCGATATTACTTACCGGCCCAGCAAGGAGAATCTGATAGCAGACATCTTGTCAATAATATGTAGTATAACTCTAAGTCCAAAAGAACTCCAGCCACTACACGAGGAACTGTGCCACCCTGGCATAACACGGATGGTTCACTTGCTAAGAATTTGCTTTATTCAGTGGAGGACATTAGGAAAGTTACAAATTTCTGCCGAACGTGTGCTGAGATAAAACCCAAATTTTACAAACCTACGCCTGGGGTCCAAATAAAAGCAACGTAGACTCAATCTGGACTTCGTCAGATTTTCAAAATGTGAGGGCTTCGTTTTTCGAATCATAGGTAAATCGTTCTGGCCTCATATAAAATGCCACTGGAAGTGCAATAAATTGTAGTAAAAACAGAACCAGTGAATAAACTTATACCAAAGCTTTATTTCACTTTACTCTGACTACTCGTCTACTGTTAGCCGGCGTGTGTTAAGCAGCGTAGAGCCAGATCAGTACTTAGATGGGGGACCGCTTGGGGAACACCTGGTACTGTAAGCCCCCAAAGTCCAACCCTTACCTCACAGTCGGTGGGGGGTAAACGGTAGTGTCAGAGCTATGCCGCCCGGAACTTCGTTCCTGGTAGGCCACCCAAGGCGGACAGGTCTGACACACACGCCGGCTAACAAGGGCTCTGGTGAAAATCCAAGGAGCGTCTGCATCGGTAACCGGCGGCTTCTGGTCGTTCCTGTCTCTGCGTCTGTGGGAACCCCGCGGCAAGAACGTTATTCGAGTAGGCCTGGGTACCCTACTTCTGTAATTTATCCCAAGAATCTTCTTCTCATAACAGGAAGAAGCCGGCTCAATCCGCCCAGGGTGAATGCCGCATCAGTACAGTACAGTAGTACTCGTCTACTGAGCAATTTAACAGTGTGCATTTTTATGCCTCTTACAGATTAAGGGGAGGTAACTGGTGATTTATTAATACACTATGAATAGTTGTTCATACATAGATTATAATTATATTAAAAGAAAAGAAAAGAAGAAATCTGCTTTTGATCCTGAAACCTATTTTGATTTGTCTGTCTTATATACATACACATACTTCCTCTTTCAAGAGGCCTGAATATATTCCTGGCAGTGTTTGCGGTAAGTTATTTATTTATTTTTTAAATTTTTTTTAATTCTTCATAGAAAAACTCACAGCAGATTATAAGACAGGGATTCTTTATAATAACTTGATTTATCCAAAGGGAAAATGAAACACACATGGCACAGTGGCTAAAGTCGTTGGTTAGATCCAGTGACAGGACCCAAAGTGTGTGAATTCAATAGCTGGTTAACACTCAAAGCTCTGACCAAAATGGCCTCCATTTGTTTTCTATTGCGCAGAATGTCTTTATTTTAGCAGTGTTGGCACAGGTCGAATGTTTGCGTTATTATCTACTTTATTCTCGAATAAAATTTAAAATAGGCCTACATAATTAAAAAAAAGTGAAGGATCACTTTCATTGTAAATTATTATCCGCGGACCGCAAGAAAATTTTTTTACGCAATTTAAAGAATATTAGCGTGATAGAAAAAGACGAAAAGGACGAATATATATAGGGAGGGAAATAGAAACAGATATATAAAGAGAGTGGGATAGAAACAGATATTTTTATAGAGAGGCCGATAGCAACAGATATACGGAGATAGAAACATATTTATATACAGAAGGAAATAGAAAGATATATATATATATATATATATATATATATATATATACAGATATATATATATACAGATATATATATATATATATATATACATATATATATATATATATATATATATATATATATATATATATATATATATATATATATATATATATATATATATATATATATATAGAGGAGGATAGAAACGGATAAATATAGAAAGAAAGGGATAGAACCGAATATAAGAAGAGAGAACGATATTGAAAAATTGTTTATTTAGAGAAGTAGATAGAAACGGATATCCGAAGGGAGGGAATAGAAACGGATATATATATATATATATATATATATATATATATATATATATATATATAGAGAGAGAGAGAGAGAGAGAGAGAGAAAGAGAGAGAAAGGTGATAGGAACGGATATATATAGAGAGGGAGATAGATCCGGATATAGATAGAAACAGATATATATATAGAGACAGAGATAGAAACAGATCTTTGCTGCTATAATTATCAGAACGAGAGGTGGGGACAGAAAAACACACCCACATATACATATATATATATATATATATATATATATATATTATAAATTAATTGATTTAAAATATGTTTTTTTCGCTACACAGTTCTAACCATGTTTCAAAAATGGAAGCTAAAAGCTACGAATTTAATTTTGTAAATAAATTAAAGACATTAGTTCCATTTCATCCTTTGAGCGAATTTTGGAGTAACTTTTAAAATTACTGGGTTTTAAATACACAGCTAAAACCAAATTCATGTTTCCAAGGTTACAGATAAATCTATTTTGCTAGACAAGGGGTGTCTGGGTGTTCAATATATCTATATTTTAATGTATCAGTTATTGCTACGTTTCTGTAGTGGGTAGGGATGTATTTTTCAATGAAATCTAACATCCGTTAAAAGCGTGTCGTCTGGATTTTCTTAAAAATTATATTGTTAACGGCTAAAATTCTTACGGCATTTTTTTTCCTTCGTATATTTAAAGATTTTTGGGGGTGTTTAGGTAAGAATACTTTTTATTTAACTACGATTTGAAATATTTTTACTTTTAATTTTTAATATACTATATTTCTTTCAAGAACAATTAAATGTAATTAGAATCCCTTACAGTTTGTAGAATTATTATCACATCAAGTATATTACGATTTTTAAAATTTTATATTTAAATATTACTAAAGTAAAATTTCCATTTCTTTGATTTAGTAAACTTTATTTATTTATTTATCAAATTCAGGGCTTTTAGCTTCCATTTTTGAAACATGGTTAGAACTG